TGTCAGGATGGCCTGGGTTCACACGTTGAGAACCATGTCTTGGCCAAATCTTTCTATCCCTCAACTAGTTTGTAGTGTTATGATTAGATTAGATTTAGATTATGAACAAGAAATTAATGATGAGAATCTTTACAGGATTTGTAATAAGTCTAAATTACAATTTAATTGGAAGTGCTTGCCCAAGGCCTAGAGTCAATTCTATATTGCTATATTCCACATTACAAATTGTAACCATTTCGAAAAAACACAATGTTTCTAGATAATTTCAAAGTATGATTTAAAAAAAGTAGAAAATTTTCTAATTGTTACAATATTTGTGAAACATCTCAAATAGATTATATATATAATGAAAAGAGCTGTTCATTCAGTTTGGATATTTCCCAAAAATTTAGGAACAGAACGTAAAATGCTTGTACAGCGCAGGATGTACATGTATGATAGCAGACCAGGTAGCCTGGGTGTAAGAAACAGGGGCGAGCTGTAGCGCCTATAACCCCCCCACTGTTACATGGGTACCAGACTGCTGCCAGGCTAGCTCCTTAATTGGCTCCTGGAGGGCCAACATTTGCCCAAGGAAATGTCACCATAGAGTGATAATAGACATCCCTCAATAAGCCTATGAATTACATTGTAAAGGCTTGTTATCCCCTAGACACAAAGAACACAGTTTCTTTAAAAATGGGTGACAAAAAGGGAGGGGAGGTGATTATGATAAAATTAACAAGTTCTAACTTCCAAGCAACAACTTGAAGTTAGTCTCCAGTCAGAATCTGATCAATGTTAGACGTGTTTACAACTGCAGAAAGGGGATGCTTTTGCTTCCGAAGCAAAAGCATTCATTGAGTTATCAGACTGCATGAATTGTCATGACATACAAAAAATACAGATGATCATTGATCAATTACTAAGGTGACCTTGAGAGAATATTGATGTAATGTTGTAATTTTATAGAACAGGATTCTTCTTCAAGTGAATGAGTCTGAGAAACAAGTAATGACATTATATTTAGTCTCTATGGCCGGCCAACTCCTCTGGCCAATGATGTTCCCCTTAGCTGATTGCTACTATTTATTTAGCCTGCAAAGGAGTCTGGTGGAGACTACATTACATGTATATTGGTGTGGCCTAACAGTTGTATATATTTATTATACAGTCATTCCTGCCGAAATTTCTAGGAAGGATTCTATCTGCAGGAATCTACAATGTCTTAGTAGGTTTTTCCTGCAGAAATTTCCTGCAGGAAGAAAATTTTCAAAATTAATTTCCATGCATGTTATCATTCATACCTGTCCAATTATCAAATTAGAGTCTGGTCGGGCTACTAGTACCCAGACATGGGTGACATGGTCTTTGCAGCTTGCACTGGGTAGCTCAATAGCCCGAAAAAATATCCAATCAGAAAACCTTATGACATTGTATATAATGACAGTGTCAGGATGGCCTGGGTTCACACGTTGAGAACCATGTCTTGGCCAAATCTTTCTATCCCTCAACTAGTTTGTAGTATTATGATTAGATTAGATTTAGATTATGAACAAGAAATTAATGATGAGAATCCTAGTTTTATTTTTTAAGATAGTCGGTCATCTTTTCAGGCTCCTACTGGGTGACCCAGTAGTCAAGCTGCCCAGATAGGGGTACTGTAATTCGACGTGTAACTCAACAATAGTCCAACTTGATAATTGGACAGTGGCATTTGCATGTCAAGAACAATAGCTAAACTTAGTTTCATCCCGCATAACAATTGTTCCTTGATCAGAATAATTACCTGAGAACTGTTGAACCATGGTTGAACAGAAATGGACTGAGGATTTTATAACTCCATTGCTTGAAAGCAGGTTTAAGTTGCAATGCATGTATTAGGCTTCTTGCTCATATTATATAGTACTAGAATTTTGTCTGGCAAAACTGTCTGTAACATAATTTTCCCAATGTTTCAACTGAACTGAACTGAACTTCAATTACATTCAGGATGCTCATGAGAAAAAATTGTTTCATTTTCTACCCCTAGCTGGTACAGAACGTGTTTGTAAGCTCTTCTTTCTTTTTTGTGGTCTACATGTAGTGGAAAGAGCATGCGAAGCTGAGTGATTGAGTGAGTGAATGAGGTTGAAAGCGGCAAAAATGTACAACACTGTTAACAGATGGGTGTGGATTATGCTCTCCTTCTTTATTTTCTGCTCTGAGAATGAAGTTTTACACATCACTTGGATCAGACCGCGGGCTGAGATGTAGTCCGTGAGGTCTGAATCCTTACCCCACTAGGCTGAAATTGGCACAGACAGTCTGCAAACATCAATCAATTCACGCCTTCCATGCCATTGTTTTGGGCTTTTTGCACCTCTTTGACCAGAAATTCCAGACCGCGGGCTGAAGTTAGGCTGACGGTCTGAATGGTTTTTGAGTAAATCAGCCCGCGGGCTGGGATTCTACACCTGTAGTCTAGTGCCTTTAGACCGAAGGTCCTGTAATTAAAACTTGCGGGCTAGTTGTTAGGCCTGACGGGCTGTTAGGAAAGACCACCGGTCTGCTTGTATTTATTATTAATGATATCTTAAGTTATGAACACTGCAGAACAATAATTTTCATATCACTGTGCTCATTACACCAAGAGCTACACACTGATGTGAAACTTGAATGTTGAAAATTAATTTTTACTTGAGTTTCCAAATGCCTTGTGACTTTCCAAAATTGATGCGACCAGTGTTAGGTCTAGGCTGTAGCGGCAGTGACTCTTACGTAGAACCGACAATAGTGCATTATAGGAATGGATTCCAGGCTAGTGATTTAAATGCATGATAACTGATACATTCTGTGTTCAGGTAATTCTCTGATACCTTGTGGAAATGGGTCCAGACTTTTAGCCCTTTCCGCAATTTCTCTGATGATTATTTTCTTCCCTTTGTTTGCAGAAAATCTTCACAGAGGTAAGCCTAAATCATCAAATCTGAATAATTGCATGCCACTGGTCACATAGTGAAGCACTTTTAAGCATGTTAGGCAATTTGTTAATCAGTACTCTCATCTGCCAAATAAACATACGGGTACGTTTATTTTTTTGGGCCCAAACATCCACCCAGTACGTTCTTATTTTGCACAGTACGTTTATTAATTTTTTGAAAACCAGTAATTTTTTCAACTTCGTGTGAAAAAAATTGACAAATCATCGACGTGAAGACGTTTATAAACGCATATTGTAGCAAGAAACTTGTCATTTTCGGGCCGGTTTTTGCAATCACCGCGTGCATAAATTCATTTGAATGTTCTATTGTCATGGGTGGTGCTTATCAAAATACAAAATATTAAATGCTCTTTTTTTTGTCTATTTAAATTCCTAATTGCAAATAACAGTTAAAGATTTGTGCATATATCAGTAAGGGTGCATTTTAGTACAAGAGACACAGGTTACCCGTCAATTTTGGTAATTTTCCGGGGGGTACGTTTATTCCTGGGGTATGTTTATTTGATTTTGAAGATTTGTCCGGGGGGTACGTTTATTCCGGGGGGTATGTTTATTCGGCAGATGAGAGTTATTAATAAGATGGCATTTTTGCTCCATACTACTGAATGAAGAGCTAGAAAGCCTGTTCATGCTGTTTTGGTGTAGCGTGTCCTTTTTTTACTTGGGGCAACCTATTTTTGAACCCAGGTAGCCCAGTGTGCTACCTGAATTTTAAGAATCCCCCCCCCCACGAAATCATGCCCATATAGGTTGCACCACTGTAGCCTGCAGATGCTTTTTAATTTTAGGTATTAATGGCTATTACTAGTAACAGTTAAGTTACCAAAGGCTGTTAAAAATATTGTCAAGGGCTTATGTGTGTAACATTACTTAGTTTGAGAAGAATAGTAACTTATAGGTGGGGCAACCTAAGATTCTGATGGGCAACCTGATTTTTGCCGCAGGTTCAAAAAAGTATTTTGTACTGTTGGTGTATATCTCAGCTCTTCTCTAGCCAGAGTAGTAATCCCCACCATCATGTATCAGTGTTCTAGCCAGTGTCCATCTTTCCAGAATTTCGCTGCATTTGCCAGACAAAAGTTTTGCCCTGTTCATACATGTATAATCTTTTACGGACAAAGATATGGAAATAGATGTCATCAGATTAAGCTTAGTCTACCAGCAAAATTTCCTCTTCAAAATGCTGAAAATAGCCTTTGAGAGGGTCAAGATTTCAAAGTTTTTATGGGGGACCATATCCCCAAGGCCACAACGCCCCTAAGATTGCCGTGCCTTCAGCGCTCGACATGACGTTACGTTAAACAAAATTGAGGTGACGTAAAAAAGATTTCAGGCTGGCTGGAACACTCAGGTATACAGTAGGTTAACTCACCAGCACTGCTGCAGCCCTCTGTACTCTCGGTATGCCTAAATACCTCAACCGACCTCAACCGGCCTCAACCGGGGTGGCTGGACAGATCATTTATTTCAATAGTTGGATGTCGATCAACAACTCATCCCTTTATGCTTTTAAATTTTGGAAATAAAAAGGAGAAAAACCTTTGGAAAAGGTTGTCAGCCCATGTATACTGCATATTAACCCATTACGTGGTCGGTTGCGGTCGGTTGAGGTATTTAGGCAGACCTCTGTACTCTCCAATGTGACATGTCTCTACTCAGTAACTTTTCTTCACTCTCCTCCAGGCATGCCTGGTCTAGTCATCACGTAGTAGTGCATGCTACATGATCCTCCACTCTTTAGGTCACATGTGCATATGTAACATCAACTCTGTGAGCATGTCGGCAGAACGTACTGCGCCTGCGCAGAACCCTGGATTTTCGTGGTTTTCGTTGGATGTTTGGTCAACGTTGCATCAGAATTTTGCTTGTTGCAGACAGTATCTTTTCCGACGTAATATTTGAAAACTACTGTCGGAATGCTAACCTTATATGAGCAAATACAACCTTATATGAGACATTCTGCTGAAGTGCTGTTCACAACACATTACGGGTTTTGCGCAGGTGCAGTACGTTCTGCCAACGTGGTAACTCTGTGTAGTGGTATTCAGAAACACAAGGTAAAATTCACGTCAATAATACATTGTATACATTACCCCTTTGGTTAAAAAGTATTTTCCCTAACCTCATTTTACGTACTTGGATTATCTGCATGTGGTAAAGTTGAGATGAAGAAATTTTACAATATTTGAAAAAAGCAGTTCATAGGCCCAGAATGATTAAAAGTAATAAGTTAGTCAGAGATTTCTGGACCTATCATACAGTTATTCTAGATAAGGCCACATCATCTTAATTTTATGGATGACATTCTCTCAAGACCCCCAAACTAGTGCGCGCGGGTGAAAAAAAGAAAAATCCGGCCAAAAATAAAAATGCTACTAAACCACAGGAATACAAAGCCGGTATTGTGAATTTGGCGCATTACATAGTGACGTATACGACAGGCCGGCACATGCCTGGATCTTTGCGGAATTTATGAATCGACACTGTACGTATGAGTTCTTGAGTCGTGGAGCTTCGGTAGCCTGGGTGCCGTCCTTCAGAGTTACCACCGACTTCGTTGTCGCTAACCACCATGAACTACCCAGGCCTAAAGCCAGGCCAGAGCCTCGGAAGACGTGATCTTTTTTTTTTTTTTTGAGAGCAGGCGAAAATCAATGCGCGCGCGGATGTCATCCATTAAATTAAGTCGGTGTGGCCTAAGCCTGGAAGTAAAACTGAAAGTTGAAAGGTAAAGATAAACTTAAAGCCCGTCATAGATTCAGAACCTTCCCACAAACACCAGCTGATCAAGGTTGGCTGAAGTTCGGGAGCAGCCTGACCAGATCTAGGCCGTGTCTATCTTTCTATAGGAATCAAATCAAATTTGAGTTAAATTGGAGTCAAATTGCACTGCCAATCTTTTTCACAGAAGTAAGACTAACCCAGGACCTACTTCTGAAAAACAGCCATCCACTATCAACCTCCCCTCAAAACGCAAATGTTTTATAGTATTTTGAAACATATGACTGGAGAAATACCGGCAGACCCAGCCGACCTTGCTCCTGAGGCTTAGGAAAAAAAATGTTGTGTTTCCTGTTTCAGTCCTGAAAAAATGAGGGTCGGTAGGTAGGGATTATCTTTTTTTTTCTTTTTTTCTAGGCTTTGATGATCTCTAGTGAACCTATATTTTCAATGTTCATGTTGGAAAACTGATTGTACAATGTTTCATCACTCAGGTGTCAGATCATGGAGCTACAAAAGGTTGATCAGCTCTCAATAAACTTATGTAACCTTTGAGGGGTCCCAAAAGAAAGGCTAGGGTCGGCTGTTTTTTTGTAGGGTCAGCCAGGAAACAGGAAACACAGTTTTTTTTACTAGGCCCGACCTACTTCTATTCTAACCATGGTTTTGGGGTGGCAGTGTTCAGCTGTGTTCAACAGGGGCTTAAAGCTTTACCTTGCAGTCAGTTCACACAGTTCTGAACAGCTCACAGTAAGGCCACACCAATTTAATTTCTTGGTTAACGGATTTTTCTAGAAAAATAATGGAGTGGGCGGGTGAAAAAAATAAAAAATAAAAACAGGCCTAGGCATTCTATAATGGCCCAAAATGGTACGGCAGGAGCCATGAAGTCAACACACCAGGCTTCAAAATTTAAACAATGAATTTTGAACTTTTAATGATACCACTGCATTGAAAAATGGAATAACTGTAACAACTAGGAAGAAAAGGCCTGTTTTAAACAGGCCTTTTCTTCCTAGTAACTGTTCAGGGACAAAATATGAGCATTTTGCAGGTGATTCTGAATTTATTTTTTTTGGCAAATCAGAAAAAAATGAAGCGGGTGAATCCGTTAACCAAGAAATTAAATTGGTGTGGCCTAACTAACTGGTTTCATCGTTGTATCTGACTCCCTCCCACAGAGACAAGCACAAGAAGAGGTACGTTGCCCCTATGCTATATTGAAAATTTAGCGTAGGGGGTGAAATTTAGTGTAGGGGGACAAAATTATAGCGTAGGGGGCCCCTACGCTACTTTGCACTAGCTAGAACCCTGCTAACTGGTTTCATGGTTGTATCTGACTCCCTCCCACAGAGACAAGCACAAGAAGAGGTACGTGTATGACGAGGCGGGAGTCCTGATCTCGGACGGCAGGGACCTGTGTGACTGTTTGGAGCAGGACTGTCCGGGGTGTCACTACCCCTGCCCCAAGTGTGGCTCCGAGAAGTGTGGGGCAGAGTGCAGGTGTGTAACAGTGGGGGGTTTATAGGTGCTACCAACAGATCCGGCAAACGGGTCTAGACCTTTTCGGTCGAGCGGTTAGAGTGTCTGGTTATGAAGCTCTGGTGTCCGGGAGGTCGTGGGTTCAAACCCCGGCCCAGGACCAGTGGGTTTTTACTGTCTCCTCCTGTTTCTTACACTTAGTTACAGTGGTTCCCACACTGGCCCTGGGAGTTCTGGCAGAGTGCCGCTCCAGGGATGTCGAATTCGGAAGATTCGACGACGAATCTTGAAAAGAAAAGGGGGAGTAGTGTAACAGTGGGGGGTTTATAGGCGCTACCAACAGATCTGGCAAATGGGTCTAGACCTTTTCGGCCAAGCGGTTAGAGTGTCTGACTGGGGCCCGGGAGGTTGTGGGTTCGAACCCCGGCCCGGGACCAGTGGGTTTTCACTGTCTCCTCCTGTTTCTTACAGGTGTAACAGGAAGTGGCACTACGAGTGGATTGAGAGTGAATGCAGACAGACCAGAAGAACATTCAAACAAGTCTAGTTTTAAAAGAGCAAGAACTTTAAATAAGATACTCCTTCTTACTAAGGCCACACCAATTTGATTTGTTGGTTCTCAGCTTTTTTTTTAGAAAAAAAGGAACCAACATGGGGGGAGCAGTGTCCAGCAGGGGCTACTAGTATCTAAGTGTCCTATGATAGCCTCAACATATGAGGCTGGTTTAGAATTAAAACAATTGATTTTGAACTTTTAGTCAAACCACTGCATTGAGAGATTGAAAAAACTGTGACAAGTACAAAGACAAGGACTTTCTTCAACCACTGAGGCCAAAATAGTAGCATCTTGGAGTTGATTCAGAACCTGAAATTTATTTCTATCAAATCTGAAAAAAAGTGAAGAGAACGAATTTGAGAACCAACTGATTTAATTGGTGTGGCCTAAAGTATATTTTTATTAAGTAGAGAGGCACTTTTGAAATACATTATTCTAGAAAGCAACAAAACGTTATGTCGCATATGCATTGGGAGGTTTCTGGTTAACATGGAATAAAAGTACCAAGAATTGTATGTACATAAATATTTGGTTTATCAGTAGGTTACTTTTAAAAAGCATTAGTTTATCTTCAATGCAAGATTCCTTAAGTAAATATATGACAGCAGACGGTGTATTACATATAAGTTCTTCATTTATTCTCTTCCTCTCTTGGCTTTTACATGTAGAAACAAGAATCACAAAATATATATAACATTCAGTTAAGCTTTCATAAATAAAAGATGCAATAGTACATGTACAACATAATCTCAATATCATCATTTAAAAACAATTTTACAGTCACAGAAAATATTGTGTGATATTTCTTCATTGAAATAGTGCATTTATGGGGGTTCTGCCGGGTATTTTCAAACTTGACTCAAATTTAACTCCAATTCAATTTGATTCATATAGAAAGACAGGTGTGGCCTGAATCTGGTCAGATTGCTCCCGAACTTCAGTCAACCTTGGTTGGATAGTTATCAGGGGAAGGCTCTGAATGTGTGACGGACTTTAGTAAAGGAAAGTTAATTAGAATATAAAACAACAGTGCCTGAGTAGGGCATACTTGTTGGGAGATGGACATTAGGCCACAGCAAGTAATTTTTATGGATGACATCAGCGCGCGCATTAATTTTCGCCTGATTTTAGAAAAATAGAAAAAAAATTTGTTGCCTTCTGACAGTGACCACCATGCCGAAAATGGGCAAAGATGTCTGTGAAGAGAGGAGACAAAAAAAAGCTCTTATTTTTGTTTCTTACGTTGATGCAGTGATATGTGATGCTGGCTGTCACGTGTGTATATGTGATGTTCCCACTGAATCAAACCATTTATACAACGATTGAGTTAAAATTTTAAAATGAAGGAACCTTGTTTTTTTTCGCCCGCTCACATTAGATTTGGAGTCTGCGGAGGATGTCATCCATAAAATTTACTTGCTGTGGCCTTAACACTATTTACAGCTTCATGTAGGTTTATCTGCACAGTAACCCACGTAACTTATCCTCCCATTGTTTAGACAATAATGGCTTATTTCTATCCTATAGTAATCTCACTCTGTTACAGCAATCATGGTAACATTGCACCAGTATTGCTAAGCTAGAATAGAGTCTTTTGAAAGTGTAGTCTTGACTAAATATATTATGATAATTGTATCCCTCTCTTCTAACCTATATATACATCAGAGGTATAATGAGTTATCGTGGAAGTTCATCTGTGTTGGCAGTAATCATAGTATGATGTTAAAATTCCAACACAAGAGTACACAAGGATCAAATTTTCAACAACCACTGTCACCTTCATCAGGATAACTTAAAATGACAAATCACTTCATATTAATAGAGATGGTGACGATATAAACTCCCCGGCACGTTGGACCAGTTGCTGACGTCTTGCATCCGTTAGTCCAAACGAGTTAAGGTCCGAGTTAAGGTCCGGAAGTGAGTGCTGATTAATTATCCTGGTGAAGGCCACAGTATTCATTGGAAATTTGATCCTTGTACCCTGTGTTGAAATAAAATTTAGATAAGGCCACACCAGTTTAATTTCTTGGTTAACTGATTTGCCCGCTTCATTTTTTTCTGATTTGAAAATAAAAATAAAAATTCAGAATCAACTAGAAAATGCTCATATTTTGCCCTGAACAGTTGAAAACAGTCCTTTTCTTCCTAGTTGCTACAGTTATCCCATCTTCCAATGCAGTGATATCATTAAAAGTTCAAAATTCATTGTTTAAGTTTTGAACCAGTCTGGTGTGTTGACTTCATGGCTCCTATCGTACCATTTTGGGCCATAATAGCATTCCTAGGCCTGTTTTTATTTTTTATTTTTTTCACCCACCCGCTCCATTATTTTTCTAGAAAAATCTGTTAACCAAGAAATTAAATTGGTGTGGCCTAAAGTACTACCCGGTGTAAGGGTACAGCAAGTGTCGTCATCTATTCTGGAAAACTTCCCTTGAGATGTTGCCCTGGGCAACAGTAACCAAGACGACCGTGTTAGCCTTGACGTCTGCGGGTAGGGTGTGGTATGTCGCCGTGACGACTCGTGCCACGTGTTTGCTGGGTGTCCACACGTGTAGGATCTGTTTGTCCCAGGATTCCATGGTGTTCTGCGTTGCGTTGATGACTCCGGTCAGCTTCTTCATCAGTAGTTTCTCCGCGTCCTCGCGATCAAATTCACCCCGGAACTTCATGGCTCTTGTAACGGACACACCGACCTGAGGAGAGGGACAAAAAAGTTTATGCTCAATGTGACTACCCACATAACAGGTGACCCTGATGTGCATTGTGAACATCAGGGTCTACAGACCGCAGTCATTTCTTAACCCTTGTCCTGCTGGCATTTTTTACACAATATTTTTCAATAATTTCATGTCTTGATAAGGTCATACACTTTTTTGCCCTGCGGTTGCGTAGCTATGTGGGTGGCTATTCTGGGTGCACCATACAAAACTTAACCTGATTACAGATCGTACTGCTCCTCTTCTTAGCTTGAATATAAAATGGGAGCTAACTTCAAAATCTTAAAGCACTACTACAACAAAGATTTTATTGACAGATTCGAAGAATATCTATACGATTATACATTTAGTCTGTAAAAAAAATATGTAAAGAATATTTGGGTGGACCAGTGCACCCACAGAAATAAATTGGGTGCACAGCTCCAATTTTGGGTGCACTTAGGTGCACACCCTGCTGATTTCCAGCCCTGCCTGCCCTAACTTCACTGTTTTAAGGTCTTAAGGTCTCATTCCGGTATTCTTCCGCGTGGGTACTCTAAAGTAGATCGTACTAAAAATTAAATGCGTGTATGGATGTGTGTTTATATCCGCCAGAAATTGCATTTTAGCTAAGTCAGTTGGCGTAAACCGCTTGTGATATGAGAGGTTGTTTGTATGTGCTAAAATTAGTGGGTAAGTGTTGACATCCGCGCGACAGGTCGGATGTTTACACGCTGTTGTGATGGGTAATGCGGTCAGGAGGTAGCAGCGCTGGAGGACCTCTGGCGGAGAGTGGCCAAGTGCAGTTTATAAATAAATAAAAAGAGATTGTTGGGTTAGATCTGGTTGGGAATTTTTTGACGTAATGTAGGGCCATTGTGCTCAAAATTGATTGGATAGACTAGATGGCTGTCATTCAAATTATTGGGTTTTGGCCTATGTAAAGTTACGTATTTTGCCATAGGCGGCTATAGTTAACAAAAACTCACGAATGGGACCTTAAAAGACCTTACCTGTACTCCGAACAGCTGGCAGGTGTAGTCTGTCAGTGCCCCGCCCTGTGGGAAGTACGTCACTTCCATCTCAGTCTTCAGCAGCTGGGCTCCAAACAGGCGGTACAACAGCTCACAGGACAGGACCTGCATGGGTACAGGGTTAATAACCACCTTTAGTGCACATTTTTGCAAGTACTGATCACAACTAAATATGATGAACAGATACAGTTCAGAGTTTACAGATACTAAATAAAATTAACTATCATTAGATAACTTAAACCTGTTCCATTTTCAGTTACAGTACATGGACATGTACAGGAACATGTTTTTCATAGAGGGTTTGCAATATAAAATTGTATCTATTAGTTACATGTACTTTGGGAATATGAATTTTTCTACAGTGTTTGAAATTGGGAAATAGATTTTGAACAAGCTCATACAGTTCATTTCTCTCTTTGCTATACAATCTAAATTCCCATTCCAAATGGCTAGTTCAGGACTACATAACGAAGTCCCTCAAGGTCAGCAGCAAAATAAATTGATTTTAAGCCATGTGGCTATCAATTGATTACAAATAAACTTTTTTTCTTAGAAAAGAATTTAGGCTAAATAGCATGAAAGTTCATCTGATGAGTTGGTAAATTACAATTTCATTTATGAAAAATTTAAACATAAAAGAGGCCATATACACCAGGGCACTTCAAACTTCGCTCAACCGATATCAACTTCAGACAACCTTTGAGTTTGACCCTTTGCTGACGTCACACCTGGGAAAAATCATGTGTCAACAGCATTTGGGTCAGATAGCTGAGGAAGACTGTCAGTGATTCAGTCGAAAATTCGGGTGAGGGAAATTTATGAGTTGGAGAACAGTTTGAATTTTTCATAAAGAAAGGCTTAGTTTGATTTTTCAAATGTAAAATACACTGAAATTTCCTGTAGTCACAACAAATCATAGAAACAGGGAGGGGATGTGGCGCATGATGTATCATACACAATGTCGCTTTAACAAGTTGGATAAATTCATTCACACTCTTTGCAAGAGAATCAACAATTATTCAGAAAACTAGAACAAGGCAAACTGTGTAATATTGACCAGTGCACCTATAGAGCCACACCTGTCGCCCCACCATACCTCAGAGTAGACAGAGTTTCCACCTGCGTTGGGACAGGTGTTAATCCTAGCAGCAGCTGCAGACAGGTGCATGTCCTCCACCCGCCGGTGGGCCGCAAGCTCCACATAGGCCAACCCTGCACTCTGTCTCTCTTTAACCTGTGTACAACAACATCACAGTGTGAGCCCTGCACTCTCTTTAACCTGTGTACAACAACATCACAGTGTGAACCCTGCACTCTGTCTCTCCTTAACCTGTGTACAACAACATCACAGTGTGAGCCTGTACTCGTCTCTCCTTAACCTGTGTACAACAACATCACAGTGTGAGCCCTGTACTCTGTCTCTCCTTAACCTGTGTACAACATCACAGTGTGAACCCTGTACTCTGTCTCTCGTCTCTCCTTAACCTGTGTACAACAACATCACAGTGTGAGCCCTGTACTCTGTCTCTCCTTAACCTGTGTACAACATCACAGTGTGAACCGTGTACTCTGTCTCTCCTTAACCTGTGTACAACATCACAGTGTGAGCCCTGCACTCTGTCTCTCCTTAACTTGTGTACAACATCACAGTGTGAGCCCTGCACTCTGTCTCTCCTTAACCTGTGTACAACATCACAGTGTGAGCCCTGTACTCTGTCTCTCCTTAACCTGTGTACAACAACATCACAGTGTGAGTCCTGTACTCTGTCTCTCCTTAACCTGTGTACAACATCACAGTGTGAACCCTGCACTCTGTCTCTCCTTAACCTGTGTACAACATCACAGTGTGAGCCCTGCACTCTGTCTCTCCTTAACCTGTGTACAACAACATCACAGTGTGAGCCCTGCACTCTGTCTCTCAACTTGTGTACAACATCACAGTGTGAGCCCTGTACTCTGTCTCTCCTTAACCTGTGTACAACATCACAGTGAGAACCCTGTACTCTGTCTCTCCTTAACCTGTGTACAACATCACAGTGTGAGCGTCACTAACAGAATTAGTACCTTTCCTTACCTGACGCTCAAAGTGGAAGGTTGTGTAGTGCTTTAGCCTGACGCTGAAGTTTTGTGTACACAAGCCGACTCCGTACGGGGGAGAGTCGTCCCGTCGCTTTGTCCACCTCCTATTTCTCCTGCTGTTACGGACCCTTGGCCTGTTCGGACGTTTGCGGACGGGCGATCCCCACTTCCGGGTCTGGGACGCGGCGCTAGCGACCGTCATCCCGCCCTTCACTCGGCGGGGGCTGGTTGGGTGGCTTCCCGATGTAATTTCCGCACCTAGGCCGTCGTTTTCTTCTTACGTTCTCATTTCGCGCAGTCATTTTTGGTAAAAAGATGGAAACACAGTGGGGCTATCTCATGTTGATGCCCATCGTTCGTCCCTGTTACTGTTAGTGATGCAACGCTGCGGGAGATTTTATACCCGCTGCATACGTCATGCGCTATTTTGGGGTATGACGACGTGGGCGGGGTAACTGCGACGTGATGCGGAAGATATGCGTACTGCAGCTAGTGTTCTTGAAGCCCCGCTCATTTTCCAGGGCTGAGAATTACGCTGACGTGTCGTCTGCTCAGCTTAAAGCAAAACCTAGCTTTTCCCGCCAAAACTTCTCGGAAGTAAAATGAAATAGGGCTGTACCAAAACTAGTAGGAAAGGATTGTCAATTTCAAAATGTGCCTTATGGTGGGTTCCTACCATTCTGCAGACAACTGCAGACCTTAATTGTTTGTTTGTTTGTTCGTTCGGATGGTACCCAGGCTACACTACCACAAGGGTTAAAGTTCAAGTTCTGGAAGTGCCATGGTCGGGATATTTATTTTAAAGTGGTGGATAGATTTTGAGACAGATGAAGTGTTATAAGAGTTGGGCCCCCTGGCGGCTTGTTTAGAAATACAAGTGACCTATGAGCGGTGCAATGACAGTCTTTTGTAAAACATTCGGACGGGAGGTTTGTCCGTGGTTGGCTGGTGTTCCGGAGTAGGTCGGGGCGTGGTTGGCAGTCAAATTTGACTCAAATTCAACTCCAGTTCCATGACATTAGGAATCGAAAGGTAGGCGTGGTCAGACTGCTCCGAAACTTCAGCCGCCATTGGGGGGAAGGTTCAAATGTTTAACAGGAGCTTTGGAGGACATAAATGGCCGATGCATTGTGGTTTTCAAAATAACTCTTTATGTTGATACAAATAGGGGTGTAAGAAACAGGAGGAGCGAGTAGAAACAGATTAAAAACTAGAGTTCCACGATCTCATACCTTCGCCAAATGATGTTAGCTTTTATGAATGAGAACTTATATACAATGTATTAATCCCCCTGATTATGCAAATAGGATCCGCAATTGCATGAATTATATCTGTTGATCATGATCTCCACCAACAGTCTTATTTTAACAAAGAATGCCATTATAGCATTTCCTCATATATTATGCAAATGAGGTCCTTATTTGAATAAGTTATGTTAAATTATGTTTACCTTCACTAAACTGCAAACACCCCAAGTATAAAATTCCAGGCAGTTACCACTATGCAATTATAACATTTTCTCATTAATTATGCAAATTAAGTCTTCATTTGCATAATCGATATCTGCCTGTGTTTCTCTCGTTGTTAATAACATATGTCGCAAGCTTGAACTTCCTATCATGGAATGCAGCTGATTAATAGAATTTCCTCATTAATTATGCAAATTACATCCATATTTGCATAATTGTAATATCATTATGTCAAGCATTACTCAAGCTACCTACATACCAAAAATCATGATGATCCATCAATCGGTTCTTGAGTTATCCTCCTTTAAACATTTGTCCTTTAAACCCCCTTGCAGTTCTAGAGCAAGCAACTAGGGGGCCCAAACTCACGTCACTTCTTCCCCAGCACAAGAGCTACCTGCCATCCAAATTTCGTCACCCTAGCATGTCTGGATCATGAGATATCAAAACCGGAAGTTCAGCTGCAGTACCATGACAAGCCGCCAGGGGGCCCAAAATCTAATCAGTTCGAGCTCTCATCAAGACCTACCCATCTACCAAATATCAAGATAATCCATCTAAGCTTTCTCGAGTTATGCTGTTGACAGACACACACACACACACACACACGGCCAGGAAAACATAACCTTCTCCAATTCTTGGCGAAGGTAAAAACCTGGTCCAGGGCCGGGGTTCGAACCCACGACCAAACCCGGGCACCAGTCCACATGCCGACGCTCTAACCACTCAGCTTTAAGGTCAAGACCCATTTCGCATACTTGATACTTGAACCGTTTGCCTCGGTGCTGCACAGATTTTTGTTATCATCTGTTCTTCTCCCTGATAAATAACCCAATATGATAATGATCTCTAGACAAACCTCCTTACGCCAACAAAGTATATTACTATTGGTTAGTTTAATTCCTAATCACGGGCCACCACAGGGCACATCCCAGTTTAAATTCATTTGGCCTTTCTATTCGAAGCTGCCGTGGAATGATTCGGAAGGAGAATAACCGTATATGAGACGAAAGGATATCTCTTCAGCTACACGACCTGCAGGTCTTAATTGTGGTAAAATCACCAGAAAAAACATTAATTTCACTCCAAAATTAATGCAAAATATTGCGAATTTTCGCGTAGGATTATCCCATAGAAAAAAATTTTCCGGCAGAAATGACTGATGCTGGCAGAAAGACCCAAACCTTGACTATACCCGAGTAAATTATAAAGAAAATTCTAGTACTGTAATCACCTCCATGAAAATGGAGGTATTGTTTTTGGCTCGTCTGTGTACGTGTGTGTGTGTGTGTGTGTGTGTGTATGTGTGTTTGTGTTTCCGCACATTTGTACCTTCATAACTCCATAACGCATTTATAGATTGGGATGGTATTTGGTATGTTGGTAGGTCTTAGGAGGACGAAGGTCAAGGTCAAATATGGGCCTCCTGGTGGATGACCTTGGTACTGCAGCAGCACTTCCGGTTTAATGAGGAATCTCCTTTGCAGCCAACAGATGTGTCATTGTGTGGCTATCGAGTCAGTGCGCTTGGGACCCGGTTTGATTAATGGGGTTCCCTCAGGGGAATAGGTGACCTATTTCAGGGTTAGGGTTTGTATTAGCTGTGTGTTTGAAAAACTTAGTGCACTGTATACAAAAACTCATATATTTCATGGAGGCGTGTCTGTGTGTGTGTGTGTGTCTGTCTGTGTGTGTGTCTGTGTGTTTGTGTTTCCGCACATTTGTAGTCAGCATAACTCCATAACGCCTTTATGGATTGCGATGATATTTGGTATGCTGGTAGGTCTTAGGAAGACAAAGGTCAAGGTCAAATATGGGCCTCCTGGTGGATGACCTTGGTACTGCAGCAGAACTTACGGTTTTTGTATCTTTTGTCCTAAAAATGCTATGGTCTTGACTTTTTGGTGACAGATAGCTTTTTTTCTCAGGAATAAGTGGCGTGAGTTTGGTCCCCCTAGCAGCTTGTTTTGGAACTGCAGGAGATTTTCGGGCGAAATCTTTAAAAGCCAATAAGTCCAGATAGGAACAAGGTATTATAATCATTTTTGGTAGGTAGGTAGCTGAGAGAGAGATGTACATAATTAACTGCAAATTATGCAAATGATGACTTAATTTGCATAATTAATGAGGAAATTCTATAATTACAATGTTTTACATTATAGTACTTTCATACATGTAATGTATGTAATCTATGGCAGATGGAACATCAACAGATACCAATTATGCAAATGATGACCTAATTTGCATAATTAATGCGAAAATTCTATGACTATTTAGTGGTAAATGATGGGAATGTCATACTTGGTACATGTGTAAGTTAATCAAAAGTTAACATCACGATGAATTTATTATATTAATGTGGAGGTAATTTACATAATTAAAGAAGAAATTTACATTTACATGTCAAGCCCATATTTCATGAAGGTATGAGATCTCGGAACTCTTGTTTTTTAATGGTCCACGGCGCGAGGGCTTGCAAATCGACTGTGGGGAAGGTTTGGAGCGAAATCTAGGTCAAACGGGCGGATTACACTTAGCGCGGAGGATTAGCAAGGTTCGGAGCCAAAAGAAATTTTCATCCCAAAATCACCATTTCAGCCATGTTAATGTTTAATAATATTTCGTGGCAGTTTATGAGAAATGTCACCTCAAACTTGGACCCTCAAAACCCTTTCGTCACTTTTTTTACTGCGCACTACCACGGAAGAACTGGGTTGTGCACCGTTAATACGGCACCAACCTCCATTTATATAGGGTATAGCCTTGGGTAACAACGAACACTACCCCCAGCTAGAGGTATAATATAAATGTGACATTTATGCGAGTTTGGCGGAGAACTTCAATAAATGTAAACTGATGTAAATACACAAAAATGTGAAAGGGAGAATGTGGAGGCTGGACGCTAAAGGCTGTCATTTTGGCGCCTTTACACATGTGTGTCCTTGTCCTGTATTTAGTAACAGTTGCTGTCCATTAAACTGTGTAAGAAGGCCAATATATAATGTCCTTTTATCTTTCAGATATATATAATTGTTAATGTCCACATGATTTCAGATTTTTTGCAATATTGTATTACATTATTTCCATCAAATTCCCATAAGTGTCACATTCAAACACCTGATAGTGTATAGAATCATATGCGATGAATTCCTGACTAAATAAGCTTAGGACACAAATTCAGGTCCTCAACATATTCTTTATTATGGTTCTCATCGATTTATTTAAATAATAAAAATTAAAAATAATATACAAAAGAGGTATGCCAAAAACATTTAATTCATGTTACTATTTTGTACGTCTTTGGTAAGTTTTGAGGCGATCAGCGAAAAGCTTCGTCGTTTTTATGATTTCCATATTCATAAAGTGGGTCCAGACGTTGGTATTGTACGGCTAAAAGCACATTCTTTACAGTTATTATATTTCAGTCCATACCATGGTATGGATGAAATATATTGTGTTCCCTCATGTTTCTCCTTCTCCTCCTTCTCCTCCTGCCAAACACTCAAAGGGATTCAACTCCACCATCATTCAGGCAAATGACTTGAAATTTGGCATGGAGGTAGAGTGGGCCAATACCCCCAGACGTTTTTTTCATTTTTTTGAAACATGCCTTTTAGAAATTTTTATGAGGGTTTTTTTGGGCATTTTTCGACAAAAAAATGGATTTTTGGATCCTGAGCCCTGGTATTACAACCAAATGATATGACATTCGGTATAAGGGTACCTTGAACGTGTGTCTACAGAATAGCAGTCATGTATTTGGCATACACCACTTCCAAATGACTCATTTGGGGGACTTTAATGGCTATTTTCAGCAAAAAAAGGGCCAAAAGTGCTGTACGTATAAATACCCGTTCCATGTTCTATCTAAAGAATGGCTGGTTCCATCCATGGAACACGTGTTCCATTGCGGGTTACCTG